GGATCATCCCACCTGTTACTCCACCCATTTCACCTGTTCATCATTTACCATTACTTATTATCTACATGCATATAACCAGCTTTCTTCAGTCACTCTCAACCAGATCCTTCCAGTCTTCGTAGGTTGTTGGTTCCCGACATCAACATCAAAGCATTTCTGTTAAAGGTCTTAATTCCACCTGAGGTCTGAATGATTTTTAACAGCATCTGTATTGACATTTGAGCCTGTTCAGCCTGTTTCTGCTTCTTTTTTTTTCTTTTTTTTGAGATTTAATGTAAATTACAAGAAATAATGTCACAACTGTGAGAATTAAACTATAAAAACAATTAGATTTTTTTTTTAATTATGGAAAAAGGCAGTTTGACATAATTAATTGGTTTATTTTGCTACATTGACTGACTGACACTTGCTGCTACTGCTGTTGATGAGCCTGACAGGCACTAAACCCGATGTTGATGTCTGCTTCTGCCAGTTTTAGCCCCATCGTGCCATTTTAATTGTTCCTCATTAATGTGGAAACTAATTAAATATTAGGCTACTTTATGCTCTGTACAGACTCAACACATCTAAATTGTGTATACACTGGGAATTCTGAATAAATAGAATTTAGAATTCTAGAATTTCAACCCAGTTTATTTCGGATTCTGCAGTCAATATAAGAATATATTCCTACACATCCTTCATTTCTACATTTGCAATGGAAAGCAAAGAATGGAAAGGGGAAGAAGTAAAGAAGTGAAAGAATGATCATACTGTACCTGATGTTTGTCCACTGGTTATTTCACCTGTTAAATAAACAAAATATACATTAGGATTTGATATTGGCAAATTATTTTGTCATTTTAAATACAGATTGTAAATCACTCACCATTAATCAGCAGCAGTAGTGACACACACAGTGAGATCAGAAACCTCATTGTGATAAACGGCAACTCCTGCACCTGCACACACATATGCAACATATACACATGAACTGTTTCCTATATAGTGATATATAGGAATATATAGTGATATTCTCAATGTTACTCAGAAGACAGGATACAGGTTTAGGGTGACTTGTGACTATATTCACTATTTTAGATTTATTTTTGTGTTTTGTGCAAATTTGGTGTATGTGTGTGTATATACATATATATATATATATATATATATATGTGTGTGTGTGCTTATACACATGAACTGTTTCCTATATTCACTATTTTAGATTTATTTTTGTGTTTTGTGCAAATTTGGTGTATGTGTGTGTGTATATACTGTATATATATATGTGTGTGTGTGTGTGTATATACTGTATATATATATGTGTGTGTGTGTGTGTGTGTGTGTATTGTGT